GTTGCTTTTTCATTTAATTTTTTTGTATGTGAGAGAGGATTATGCCTTAGGGTGTGTGCACTTGCCAGAGGGAGAGAGAGAGACAAAGACAGTGAGAGGGAAAGTGAGAAATCAGCCTGCAGAGGGGATGGCCACACCACAGTCCCTTCTCCTCCATTCTCCTTCTGGGATCTTGGGCATGCAAACACATGGTTCCAGCATGATTTTGAAGCCACTGGGTCCAGGACTCAAACTGCAATCGGCCATATAGGAATCCAGCAACATAACCACTGTGCTATCTGCTGGCTCTGAGTGCTACTATTTTATATGGAGTGTCAGCAAAGTCCCCTTGATGAAGTGAAATTCAAGCAGAGACCCAACTTAAACGAGGGAAAATTCGCTATATGGATATCTTAGAGCTTTCAAGAGAGAGAGAATAGTGAGATAAGGGCCCTGAGGCAGATGCCTGCAGGGTGTGGACTGAGAAACAGCTGGGCAACCAGTGTGGGTGGCCCTCCTCAGGTACACCCCGGGATTGCTTTCTCATAAAACCAGTAACACTAATTGCAAAGTAAATTAAAACTAGCATGCTTATGCCCTCAAAGGTCCAAAAGAGAATGGACAGATGGGACCAGCAGTTAAGTGTAATGGCTATGTCGCTGGGCTCCCATGTAGTAGACTGTGGTTCACGTTCTGGATCCGGTGGCTTAAAACTCACGTCAGGCACGTGTGCATGCGTGCCCAAGATCCCAAGAGGAGAATGGAGGAGGAGAAGGGATTGCGGTGTGGCCATCCCCTCTGGGTGGGGGGTGGGGGTTGATTTCTCGCTTTCTGTCTCTCTGTCTCTGTCTTTCTGTTGAGTGCACGCGCCCTATAGCGAAAACCTCTCCAAAAAAAAAAAAAAGAAGAGAATGGAAAGAAGCCTAGCAAGTTTTGATGGCAAGGCTGAGGGATAAAAAAAATGACATAAAATATAATTAAATAATAATGATTATTGTTGATGTTATGCCCTTAAATGGTAATTACTATACACCACCAGGTATATTGCTCTAAGCTATATACACATATTAACTCATTCTTCTTCTATAAAGTAGTTACTAGTATTATCATTTAATGGAAGCTGAAGAGTTCAGTAACCTGCCCAAGGCCACACAAGTGGCATTTAAACCCAGACTGCCCAATTTGAGTCTGTGTCCTCATATTTACCCTTCCTGAGTGGAGAGGAGGGTTGCCATATCATGTGAAGAGGAGCCATGTGGACAGCGTGCCCAGTGGCTCCACACACTCCACACTACACACACACCCATGTTGATAAGCAGGAGTGGCAGCAGGAAAAGAGGCTGTGGAGGGTAATTGGTCTTCTTGCAATTGTGCTCATACTCTTTTGTCTTCATTCACTTAAAGGTTCATCCTCTTACATAGGAAAATATAAGAAATATTTTTTTGAAATCTGCAGTTCAAATCCCAGCCCTGAAACATTTCATGAAATTCTAGGGACTCAAAAAGATAAAATATAGAGACCAGCAGTTGGCATAATGGCTATGCTGCTGGACTCCCATGGAGTCAACCACAGTTTGAGTCCTGGGCCCAGTGGCTAAAACTCATGCTGGGCACATTCTCCTCTCCTGAGGGGAGAATGGAGGAGAAGGGATTGCAGTGTGGCCATCCCCCTGGTGGGCATTTTCTCACTCTCTCTCTCTCTCTCTCTCTCTCTCTCTCTGGCAAGTGCACATGCCCTATAGCAAAAACCTCTCCAAAAAAATGAATATATAATATAATAATAAATAACAAATTAAATTGTAGGAATTATTTATTTTTTCTGTCACTGATTTCCAGTCTCTGGGTATTACCATCTGGATGAAAAAAATTTATGATTAGAAAAATTAGTATCATTTCATAAATTACCATGTTTTTAAAATAAAAACATGTCAGTGGGTAGATGGCAGTCCTTGTGTTTCTGCTCATTATCCTTCTGGCCTAAGAGCATCCAAAGGTGTCCCCAAAGAGGATGAGTGAAGTCTGCTGGTCTATCTGCCTTCTGTATTTAGCCCATATCTACACCCATGTTTGGTTTATTTTGAAAGAACTTAAATTGAGTATGGCAAAAATGAAATAATTTCAAATTACTAAATGAAGCATCATCGTACCTATTTTCCCCAATGGAGCTTCATGGGTCTGCCTGTTTATCAAGTTTTATATGTGTACGACATAGCTCATTTTATTAGAAGGGGCTATAAACTTCGTCCTGTTCTGTATTAATAGGTGTGCATTTCTCTTTCAACCCACCCCTACACAGCTGAAGAACAGGATGGCTGAGCTACCGCCTCCCAGGTTCTTTAGCATCATCTTACCTTTTTTCATTGTTCAAACATCATTGCAGCATATTCCAAGGCACACGAATGCTCAGCTATTGTGAAATATCAACCCCCCCACTCCCAAATAGAAATAACTTAATCAGATGCCAAGTTTGCTTAGTGCGTAAGTGCTGAGTACCTGAGGAAAGATCCAATTACTATGGCTATTGCCAGTACGTACTAATAGCCATTGAGAAACTCATAAGAATAACTTCTATATGTGATAATAACGAAAAAAATACCTAAAGTAGGGCCAGCCAGGTAGTGTAATGGGTAAGGTGGTTGGATCCCACATGGTTGACTGTGCAGTTCAAGTCCTGGAAAAACACACTGCAGCTTGAAAAACACACTGGGTGTGTGTACATGGGTGCTGCAAATCCCAAGAAAAGGGAAGAGAAGGGATTATGACATAGTCATTTTCTTGGGGAGTGTTTTCTCACTTTCTCTCTCTCTCTGGTGAACACACACACCCTATAGCAAAATTAACTATATACTACCAGTCTCATGCTCTGAAGCCTAGTGGTTAAGTTAGATTCCCCCGTGGCCAACTGTAGTTCAAAACCCAGCCCCAGAAACAAGAAAAACACTCTGGGCTTGTGTGCATGGTTCCCCAAATTCTGACTGAATGGAGAAATGGAGAAGGGATTGGGGCATGACCATACCCCACTAGGAGGTACTTTCTCTCCCCCTCTGTCTCTCTCTCTCTCTCTGACAAGTACATGCACTTGTATATATGTATATAAATGTTAGGAAGAAATAAAATTTATTTTAAATTTTATGTAGTTCAGTGGTTCTGATGAGGAAATTATGATGTTCTTAAAGGGCTTAAAGAAATTAGTTTAAAGGAAAGTTTAGAATTTCAGTGAAAAATCTCTTGTGTAGGTCTACCCCTGATGGCATCAGCTGTTCCACTGTCATGCCTTTACAACATTAAGTAGCATACTGGAAAACTTACTACCAAAACATGATTTTAGTTTTTGGTTTTTTTGTTTCTTGTTTTTCTGCTTGTTGAGTTGTTTAGAAAATAGTCTTTTATATGAAGCAAATAAATTCTTTTTGCAAATTATGTTACGCTATGTCAACGAAAAATCATTAGCTCGCTACTTTATTGGTTCCTAGTACCTACAGCAATATTTAGTAACTTGACCCTGGCTAGCTTTCAGCAATTAGTACATCTTGCTGCATAAAGAGCTTATTAGAGACAGTGGTAGTGAGGAAAGGTTGTTTTCAGTTTGCTTGTTTTTGTTTAAAAATTATTTAACAAAAAGTTTACAGGTCAGACGTTAAAGCAGATATCCTGGACAAAGACAGCATGCCGGCAACCTCTTTAAGAGGGAAATATTAAAATAAAGACTTCCAAATAAGACAGGGTATTTACTGACGAGACATATGCCGGCTGACTGGCTATGTTTAGAACAGCAGAGGAGCATTTAGATTTGTTTCCTGTAGAACTCTCTGGGACTGATGAGGTGATGTTTACACAAATGTTTGGATGAAGTCACTGGGATATTTTTACTAGATGCCCAGATATGTTACTAATCTCTTTCTATCCCTTCTCCACCCCATTAGGTCAGTAGGACCATAGGATAGGCATGGTATTATTGCTCCCTGTAATCCTAAGGCCTTTTTTTTTTTTTTAAAGTTCTTCCAGTGGCTTTCTTACCTTCTTATATATCTCCAACAATAACAACAAAGACAGACATCTTATTGCTTTGCTAAATGTGCTCACCAGTCTGCAAAGCAGCAAACTATTATTAAACACATTCTCTTTTATTAAAAAAGTAATTAAGTTCAGGCTTGCCTTGAAGGAACAGTTCCACTATGGCTATTCTTTGCAAATATGCAAACTTTGCCTTTCATTCTATTTCTTCTCTTTTCCCTAGCTTTTCTTATTCAGTCACAATCTCAATTACCTTTTTTTTTTTTTAGTGCTTTCCATATCTCTTTTTATTCCTTACCTGCAGGATTTGCATTCATTGTAAATGACAGAGTGA